TGGAAATGTTGATGTCAACATATGTACAACAGTGCTTAATAGAATTGAATGATGGGTTGTTAAAAGATTTGTAAGAGCCCCCCAACAAAATTATTAATTTAAAAGAAAGAAAATCACATTGAAAGGTTACATTGTGTTTGCTTTGGGAGCAACTGGTTAAAAAATGCAACTGGCAGACAGATTTGAAAGTGATTTCAGTCATTTAAAGAAGCTTTGAGAGTCTGATCTAGCAATGGGAACAGAAAGAGGCAAGATGAATTACAGAATAGAAAAAGGAAAAAAAATAAGAGGAGAGAGTGGTAACTCAGTACTACGGAAAGTTCAAATGACTCTGAGAAGAATGCAGTGGGTTTAAGGATGAATAGAGTACGTGAATATAATGACTTTCAGTAACACAAACAGCAACCCACCCCTGCCTGCCATCAGGTCAGTTCTGACTCATAGCAACCCTGTCATAGGGCAGAGCTCAATTGCTCCCCACCTTTTCTGAGCCTGTCAATCTTAATGGGAGCAGAAAGTCTCCTGTTTAGTAGGTTTGAACTGCTGACCTTGCAGTTAGCAGCCAGATTTGTAATTCGGGCACCAGGGCTAGTTTTTATTTTAGAGGTCATTAATGAACAAATCAAAGTTGCTATCATGGCCATTCAGACTCATGGTGATGCCAGACGTTCCAGGACAGCGCTACGCGCCATAGTTTTTTAAATCGCTGTGGTCTTTTCAAAGTTGATCACCAGGCCTTCTCATGGCCTCCGGATGGATTTGACTTTTTTGTCCTCAGCTGAACTTGCACCTGTCAGGGCCACAGACGTAGAAGCCAGGTAATGAAGGTTGGTAAAGTGGAGGAACTGGATACTGTGATCAGGAAATACTTTCCAAGATGTTTTAAAAGTGAGGAAGAGAGGTTGTAACGAGAGGGAAATGAAGAAACTATAGCAAGTTAAACTCCTGTGTCTTGTTAAAGCCATTAATATTATACTGTCTTTCCAAAATATACACTAATAGTGTATTTACAGGGAGCAGAAGAGGAGTAAAGCACTTGAGAAAATGATGCCAAGAGTCGAAGTGGTATTTTATTAAGGATTGACTTTAATTTCATCCCATTGAAGGCAGATTAAAATATTTAAAATTAAGAAAGGGGGGTTAATTTTACTGTTAATTGGGAAGGTTGTTTATTCTCACTTTGCATAATTAAACTGGTATATAAAATATTACATGTAAATAAAGGTTACTTCTGTTGGCGCGGTCTTCAAGAAGTTTGTGAAAAAATGGAATTGAAAGAAAATGCCGTTTTTCCATGGACGTTTTTGTAACCCAGGAGCACTGTGTGGTTATGAATTGGGCTGCCAACTGCAAGGCCAGCC